TGGTTGGTATGTTATCCTTAGTCTTCAAATACAAATAATTGGGCTTTCTAGAGGCATTGTTATCTGACACTAGAAGAATAATGTACTTTCCCTACTTGGTAATGACTATTCAATAAGATAGAATTATTTTTTAAAACTATGGTTTGATACTAGTGTCCATAGACAAGGCAACACTTCGAAAAAGAATATACAGACACAAATCTTTAAATGTTATCAAACCTCTTTTTATTAACAACAGCTTATGCATCGTTGTCTAAGTAATCCCTAACTCCATTCCTGAATATGAGTTAAATTGCCCAGAACCAGAACATAGCATCTCACCACTGTGGACTCTGTCTGGTTCATACAGATTGTGCATGATTATTTCATATCAGATCTTTTCCTTCATCTTTGGTCTCTCTGTTTACACCTATCCAGTTAAATAAAAGCCCTGTTTTTTTTGTTTTTTTTTTTCAAAGATTCCTAGTTTTTGCTTATGGAGGTACAAATAAAAAGAAGATAAAGTTATATGCCAGCAACCTTATGCCATGGAAAAATTATTTCCCTTTAAGAAAAAGTTCCCACAACCCATCCTAGCCTCTGTGCATTTTCAGTTTTAAAAAATGTCCTATCTATCCTCATCCCAGCTCCAACTCAAAGTATTAGAAATGAGTTAGAATTTCCAGATTCCGTGTATTAGACAACAGTGTTTAAAAATGGGTACAGTTTTAAAACTAAGAAATAATGCCCTTTATTTAAGTCTTTTTTGCCTACTTAAAAATGAGGTTTATAATTTTAGCAGAGATAGTGCTTGGATGACTGAAGAGATGATATTCCAAGTAGTATTAATATGGAAATTCCTCACAGTGGTATAAAATCATTATAGTAAATACCTAAGGATGGGAATTATTGAGTCATGCACTGAGAATAGAAAACCAGTTTTCCAATCTGGGAGCATGGTAGAAGATTAGGACTTTTGAGGATAGGAGAATAAATTAGCAAAAGATCTTGAACTTACGATTAGGAAGTAAAGTTTGCAGAAGTGAATGAGAAATAAAAATATTTTTCTATATTTTTAGCTAACTCTGCATTTCTTAGCCATTCTAGCCATTTCTCCCTATGAATATTAGAAAACTTCCTGATTTATATCCTGCACAAACGATTGGTATTATTTGCCTTTTTTAAAAGTACTTTTTAGTTGTCAATGGATATTTTATTTTATTTATTTATTTATATGCAATGCCAAGGATCAAACACAGGGCTTCACATATGCCAGGCAAGCGCTGTACCACTGAGACACAACCCCAGCCCAGATGATCTGTTTTTATTTCCAATTTCCTAAGTGTGATATGGTGTTAAGCATCCCACACCCTTATTTGTGAGAAATCAATTTACATCCTAAGGAGCGTCAGATGTAAAATTGATAAAATTTGAGTATTGAAAACCAAATGATTATAGTTTCTGGGAATGCATTAAACTAGGCACCTTGATTGATCTTCCTGATAAAAATTAATAGAAATGTAAAATGAAATTATTTAAAATTTGTTTTAATTCACTGATAACCAAGAATATTAGTAAGGAATATTCATGCACCAAAATGTAACTGGAGGCAGAAACCCTAGGGGTAAGCCAAACACCAAGGCCAGTTTTCATCTGCAGACATCGGAAGCTTTGGTTTTTATGCCTTCAAGAATGCTGAGGGCCAATGTCAAATCCCAGGGCCTACCCAAGTTGGGATGCATAACAGAAAATAAAATCCAGGTACAGTATTGTCTGTTTACAAAAGACTCATCTAAAACTAAGGATAAATAATGATTTGAAAAAACAAGTGTGAGGGCTATATAAGTGTCAGGGAACACAGTATTTCACAATAAATAGTAGTACTACTGGGGATAGGAGATTGACATCTGGTACTGACAAAGACAGAAAGTAGGGAAAAGAGGAAAGTGTTTTGTTCTCCCTCTTGGGAAAACAATTCATTAAAATCTTTCTAAATATAAGATTATATAAAATACACACATGCTTTGACCCAGCAAAGCCTTTTTTTTTTTTTCATGATTTGTTTTCCCTTTCTTCTGCAAGATTCAGATAGGAGATTTTTGATCAGATTAAGTATCAGGAAGCAGACAGCCCAGCCTCTATATTCAAGAAGGATTAGTTACAGGACCCCTAAGTTTATGAAAATTTGCAAATGTTGAAATTCTACATATAAAATGTATGTATACATTCTCTCATATACTTTAAAATCATCTCTAGATTACTTATAATACCTAATATAGTGTAAATACAACATAACTAGTTGTTATGCCATGTTGCTTAGGGAATAAGGACGAGGGAAAAAAGTTTGGACATGTTCAGTACAGACACAATTTTTTTCTCTGAATATTTTTGATTCTCAGTGGAATGTAGAGCCTACAGATATGGACAGCCAAGTGTATATGATCAGTGTAAAGTTTATAAATGTTAACGTTGTAATCCATTACATGCTAAAATGAAAAAAAACAATGATGCATGGTCAAGTGGAAGAAGAAAGCTCAATAATGAATGCAAGTAAGGGGAAATTGCAGAGTAAATATGTGATCATTTTAACCAATCTTGTTTGGTAGAAAATTTGTGTTCAGTTGGAAAACTAGCTTCTAGGAATATCCAGAATCATCCCTTCCAGTTTAGAGTAGAATTAAACACAAAACAAAAAAATAAACAACCAAAAGCTCCTCATGAACTTCTCTCAAAAAGTCAGAATCCCTTATAGTACTTTCTGGCCAGACCTGCTTTGGAACCTCAAAGAGGCTCAATGGCATAGCAGAAATAAAAAGCAGATGTGCATGATGTAGAACAAGAAATTCTTATCATGATATCAAGACAGTCTTGAGGGATAATGTACCCACTTGCCCACACACAAAGATGAAATAGGAGCAAGCCTTGGTTCTGAGCTCCTGTGATCTGGAAGGTTTCCCATTCTGAGGGGGCTGATGAAACCACAGAATTCTCACTAAGTCTTTGAGGGAATGAGAAGTCATAACTGCTTCTCTATCTTTTCCCCCTTGCACCCCATTTCTCATACAGGTTTAAGTATGATCTTGTATAGAACTCGTTCACATCTTATTTGTTCATTTGAGATAAAAGAAAGCAAAACTAACTTTAGCCAAGTCTAAGTTGGTATTGGTGGCCTGGTATCCACCATAAAGCTTTCAAAATATCACACTAATAAGTAACACGCATTTATTTTTAAAAACTAATATTTATAGAAATATTATTGGCACAATAATACTCATAAATGAAATAATGAAGTTACTATTTTCTATACATGATTCTTGAGAAGCTTAGAAATTGCATTCCATATTGTATTTAAGTAAAGTATTAAGAGGAAAAGAATAAAAAACTTGAAAATTTATAGTAAAATTACTATACATAAAAGAAACATATGTTTATGGAAACATTATTGATGGCACAGTTTCACCAAAGCTCTACACATTTACTGATTAACTTACATAATGTCTTAGTGAAAAAAATATTCTATACATTTTCCTTATGCTAATATAGACAAAATTCTAGAGGTATTTATTTAGGTGTTATAAAATTCAGGGTAGGCAGAGGACAAGTTCAAATACAGAGTCAAAGATGCTCCCATGACTCCAAGAAATGATTTGAAAACAAAAGACAAAACAACATATATTGGGGCATGTGATGGCCAATGGAAACTGTCTTATCTGAGCACCAAAGAAAGGTCTATGGATGCATAATCAACTTATATGGTATCATTTGAAATGAACTGGATATCCCTCTTCCTTCCTGCCCTGTATCCCCAGCTCCCCTTAATCATCCAAATAAGTCAGTATGATATATATTGATTCAAGTCTTTGTAGAATATTTTGTATTTTGATACTGATTCATGTAATCATGAATTTATTAAGTTTACTACCTGTGTGTAGAGTGGTGTATTATTTATTTTACTTTTGTTCTACCTTCTTTCTTTTGTTTTGATACTACCTTATTAAAAAAAATTGAGAAGCATGAAGCAGCACATATCAGATGAAGAGCTTTCCTTAAAATATGAAGATATGATAAAACTGGTTATAATATACGATGATCCTTTAAATATTTACATTAAACTGTGATTTAATTCAAATATGTACACCTTAATTCAAAATATACAATATAATTCTGTAATTTTCAAAAGATTTATTAAAAATGCAAGTACATGTACTGCAGTAACCTGGTATCTTCTCTCTGGTGCCTCTGTGATTGCACATACCACTTCATTAAATGTGACTTCAAAAGTCAACCTTTGCCAGGTACAGTGGCACATGCCTGTAATCCCAGTGGCTCAGGAGGCTAAAGCAGAAGGATTGAAAGTTCAAGCCAGCCTCAGCAATTTAGCGAGGCCCTATGCAAGCCAGAGAGACCTTGTCTCTAAATGAAATGTTTTTTAAACAAAGATGGGGAGGAGAGCTGGAGCTGTGGTTCAGTGGTTAAGCACCACTGGGTTCAATACAGGGTACCAAAAAAAAAAAAAAAAGTCAACCCTTGAGGCTTTGCACAAAGGTAAGGTTTAAGACAAAGGAGGCCCACTGGTTTCTTTGATAAACTGCCACATTCCCTTTCTAATAATCTAAGATTTGGTGATAAAGAATGGATTCTTGATGTTTACCCTTCAAGTTTATATCAGATTTTCCATGAATGGTAAAAATTAAATGAACTAATTGAGGCTGAGTTGAAGATGGGGAGAGTGAGATCTTTATTTTTTTAATGGTTTAGCTCTTTCCTTGGAGGTAAAACTGGTTGGGTAAACTCCAGGACATTGAGCAAGGTTAAAAATTTTAAAATAACAACATTAAAGCAACAAAACAGTGGCCCAGTGTAGGGCAGTGGAGAAGGCAACATCAAGTCTAAAAAATGACAGTTGTGTCCTTAAGCATCCGTGGAGGGCAACCAATTTCAACTAGGATCCCATTCTTGTGGTTGAATATGATGTGGAATTACACTAGTTGTATATTTATATATGAGCAAAAAAAAAAGTTACATCTGATTCTTTCTATTGTCTTTCCTATTTCCATCCCCCTTCCCTTCCCTTCACTCCCCTTTGATTTTTTTGAGACTCTCTACTGGTTAGATAAAATAGCCAGAACTCTGCCTTGAGCTTTGCAGTTGTTTTTCTTACTTAATGCAGAGGAAACCTGCATCTACTGTTCTCTTTCTGTTGACCATTTAGATATTAACTAGTAGCCAGGTCCTCAGAGTGGGAAGATTCTTCTCCAGCCATTTAATATTTTTGGTTATGGTTTCCAGAACAATTTGAAAAATATCCAGATGTGATCCTTGGGCCGAAAGAGATTCAAAGAATTGTTTTACCTGAAAAAACAAATATGCAAAAAAAAAAAATTACTGGCATGGTTCATAAAAACACTATTTCTTTAAAGGATTTCAAAACAGCTGGCAAATTACACACACACAGGTGCAAGCATTTTTCCACCAAACTATAAAAGATTCTTTTCTTTTTTTCCTTTTTTTTAGGCATAATGGTTATTTTCTTTAATTTTCAAACAATAAAGACAGAAAGGAATTATAGATCCATAGCTCACAAGTGAGGCCACTATGGGCAAAGGGGTTAAGTGACTAATTCACAGAAGTCACAGAGTAAATGGTGAGCTGGAATTTTAGTTCTGGAATTCTGAATTTGCTTAAGAGATACATTTAGTATTTCTTGTGAAAAGAAGATATAAAACACACAAGTGCTTTTGAAAAGGACAACTAGAATTAACAATAGTAGTTTTGTTGAAAACACAAATAGGCACATTTCCACATTTTAATATGCATTCCTGATCATGATACAATACTGATGAAATAATAAAAAGGATTCATCTGTCAAGTGTATTTTCATTTTAAAAGCTATGAACACATATTTCTTAAAATATGTCAGGTTCAAATTGCATCCCTTTTATTTGCTTGTTATGTAGCAATGGAAAAACAACTTTAAAAAATGATAATTTCAAATCAAGTTTTATTTAAATTTATTTTCAATCCTACAATCTGTACATTTATTGTTAGTAGTAGAAAGTCACAAACCTTACCTCTTGCAACTCATCCTTGGAAGAAAAGAAAGATGTTGTGCTAGAGATGATGGTTCTCATGGCAAATGAGCCCAAGTCAAATCTGAAAAAGAAAGGAACCTCACAGATATAAGTAATGGAAACACTGACCTTATGTTTATCATAGTATATATCATATTTAAAATATGAAATATCAACAACTACGTAACTTTGTATATTACAGTAAACACTATTAATTACCATAAATATAACTCATATTCATTTGTTACAAGCCTGAAACTATGAAATTGACAAAATTCAACATAAAATAAAAATGTTGATCTGGCATCATTGCCAAATATGATTAGATTCTTTGAAAATGTTTATGTTTAAATTTATGTTTATATTTAAAGTAATCTTCTCTACAATTTTTGCTTATATACCCCACAAATAAAAATTTTTGAGCAAGAATTTAAATACACACACACACACACACACACACATATGTATTTTTTTTTAGTGCTGAGGATCAAACCTAGAACATGTTAAGCAAGTGCTCCACCACTGAGCTATACCCCCAAGCCCCAATACACATATTTTAATTTGTGAATTACATGCATATATTATGGTATGATCAAAATATTTAAAATCATGATACAAGAAATAATATAAAATGTCTTTATAAAATTTATATTATATATTATGTATAACTTTCATATACATACAATTTATAAATCTAATGTATATTATATATTTTAATAGGTTATAATAAATGACATACAATTTAAAACATTAGATAAGAAATGATATATGTAGTAATTTTTTTTTTTTTGCATTCTAATATGTTTTCACACTTCCCCATTCCATTTTGGACACCACTGTATTTAAATGTTTATTTGGTCAAATGTTTTTTGTTTGAACTCTCCTTTACAGTCACAGATTGCATCCTTCATTTCAGTTTTGTTTAGAGACAGGTCAAAGTGATTCATGCTGACACAGCCCAGCAGAGACAATGGCTCCAAGCCTAGGTTCTACATGTGGTTGGGCAGGAACACAATCTCGAGTTACAAGTTAGATATTATGGAAATGTCTGATCATTTCAGAGGAAGATTGACAATCATGAAAACAGCTAAACAATGGTTCTAGTAAAGTTTTTAAGGAAAAAAAATTTTAATATAGTTTCTGTTTGGTATCATGTGATGGATGGGTGTCTGCTCATTGAAGGTCCAGGGGAGAAGTGGAAATGTGTTTTGGGTTACACAAAGCTGTCTTTGAGGACTCTGAATCTTCCATCTCTAAGAAATGAGGGAGAAGAGGGAATTGGAGAAGCTACATTAGAGATACCAAGATTAAAACGAACAAAGCAAATGAAACAGCTCTCTGATTCAGGACATTTTCTATATCGGTCACAAGTGACATTTTGGATTTGGATGAGAGGGTTAAATGCCTTAAAAGAAGGTGTGTGTGTGTGTGTGTGTGTGTGTGTGTGTGTGTGTGTGTGAGAGAGAGAGAGAGAGAGAGAGAGAGAGAGAGAGAGAAGCAGGGTGTGGGGGGCATTACAATGAAAAAAATTGCTCTTCTGAGAGATAATATTTAAGCCCAGGAACTTAGTCACAAGCTCTAGTTCTTTCAAACATTGTGAGGCCTCAGGAAAAAAAATCTGAACCAATATTGGAGGGGGCTCCTGAAATACTTCTGTTCTTTCGATTGCTTTGAGATCTTTCCACTGTACTACCTCCATGGTGAAACTAGAGGTATAGATTAGCTCTCATTAGAATTTCTGAGGTTCTGCATTATCCAAACAGGTCAAATGCATGTAATGCTTCTATAAGCCTTCATTGGATTTATTTCAGGAGAGAACCAGGGTAGATGGGGAGATAACTAGATTTAACTCAACTTGTACTGCTCCCAGCAATTCTTTTCCTGGGATGAATGAGTGGAGTGTGTTTCTTGTTCTCTTATTCTCATTCCTCTCTTGTACACCTGTGCAGAATAACTTGAGTGAGTGAATTTTAAAGCCTATAGATTTCATTGAAAAATTTGAGTAGAGATGATCTTTTATAGGCTTTTATATATACTTGGTTACATATGGTTTTAATTAAGAGACATCTGCATTAAAGAACATACATTGAGCTTATACAAATACTAACTTTTTTAGGAGATCAGTCCAATTTGCTCTTACAAAATTCCAGGCTAACTGCTGACCCTTTGGATTTCTGGCAATTGCATGAATGAGAGCTGCCAAGTCTTGTGTCTTGATAACCTTTCCTTCCATTCCAAGCTCAATTAACCTAAAGGAATAAAAATCATTTGTTTTTTCATAGTAGATATTATGGAAATTAACTTAGGGTACCAATATATTAAAATAACAGAACAGAAAGAGACATGATAAAAGTACAATTTACCAAAAACGGTAATGAATTTTCTACAGGCTAATCTTATTAATGTTCCAATTAAACATTTACTTTTTTTTTTACAGCAGTAACTTTATTTGGTAATTATTTTAAAGACTTTTATTAGCATCTTGTATACATCTTATATGCAAGATTGTTTTTTGCAATAATTTTCACCTAAAGTGCTGAAAGTAAAGCACACCATTTATCTAGCATCACATGATTAGTAATAAAATAATCTGTTTACTATTCACATTTGTCAATATATATGTTTGAAAAGTAAAGTTAAAACCATTCAAATTTGGATTCAATTATTTTATACCTTTAAAATTAGTGGCTGCAATTTTAGTGACTTCAGTGAATTTGTTTCAGCTTACTTTTAACAGTTTAGTTGATGAACTTACTTTACCAGCTTTTCCTGATGCCTGCTCGTTGATAATGCATACAGAATTTTGTTTTTTTCAGCACTTGAAACTGACAGTTCATATTGCTCTAAAAGGTAATTCCATCCTGCTGTTGTCTGAGCACCCACAGAATATACAATCTTTAAAACATCTGTTGGAATACTGCAATATTAAGCACAGAAGTAAAGAAGAGAGTTTTATGAAAGAAAAGAAACATTATATTTTACAATTTATGTTACCATAACAGATTCACTCCTGAATTATTTCCAGTACTCAGGGAATTAAAACATTTTTCTGTCAAATTTTACGAAAAGATTTTATGTAATTTTACTTTGCAGATTATTTATGTTTTATCTCCTACCATTGACAAAATATTAGCCAGCAGAATAAGTATACATTTTAACCAACCCTGAGATAGGGTAGAAAATAGAAAGTTGGTGAAAAATAATACAAATAAACAAAAGGGAATTTAAAAATGAAAACAAAAATAAAGTGGAATCAATAAAAAGTAATTTCTGATATATAATACTGGTTATACAAATTCTATTATATTAACCTTTACTGGTGCTATATGAATTTTTAAGAAATGACTATTTATACTTTAATTTCACCTTAAAAGTACTTTCTGATATCTGTCTGAGGGTCACTAGTCAGTTCTAAATTTAGAAAATTGTAATTTAGTACAATTGATTAGGGCCTTGGCATTTTACTGTTATAAAATGTATAAAATGCAATGGTATTATTTTCTGTCCTCCAAAAGAAGGCACATGATTTAGGTTTTTATTGCTTTGTAGGGCATTAACCAGTGTTATTCTAAATTTTTATATAATTTTTATCCCCACATATAGATAGATCAACAGTAGCTGATAAATACATGGCTCAAAAAACCCACAACATAGAGCAATAGGGAGGGGTGGGAAATTTGCATTTGTCATGAAGTGACCTCATGACAGGTATTGTACTAGTTTCTGTATAACATTTAACTGTCAAAACTACCCAGTGAAATAGCTATTATCCTGAATTTTTAAAAGTGGAAATAATTCTTGGAAAGGTTATGAAAATGTACACAAGGTGACATAACTTGCTATTTTGGAGGTAGGACTGAGATATTGCTTGTGCCAGTTTCTACTATATCAGATTGTACATAAATATCTCAGGTGCTATCTAAATCATAAAATACTGATTAATTAAATTAAAATCCATATTGCTTTGATTTTAGTGTATTTTAACTGACCATATTTTTGAAAACTAGTAGAAAACACATTAAAAGTTTCTTGAAAATAAGGTACCTGGTTTTGTCACAACTTGTAATCCTTAGCTCCTACAGCAGTGCCTAACTGGCACATAAGAGATATGCAAATAATTATACTTTGAATTCACAAATAAACAGTCTTTGTAACAATATTCTTCACTAAGATTTATACTAACGTTCATGGAGTTTGGGGAAAATCCTACAATATTTAATTATGTATTTTTTATTGTAAGTATAAGTGAGCTTTACTCAGAATATTTTCACAGGTATGTTCAACATATGGACAACTCATATCTGCTGTGGCTGGGTTAGTGCCAATTATAGCATCACTGTCATAACCAGCAGAAAGGCAGAATAATAATACTCTGTTGTGTGACATTTACATTTTTCTCTCACTCATACAACCCATTCAAATAAGAACAAAAAGAAGAAAATTACAAATCAAAGATATTTTTAGATTTTAGGCTTGAATCCAAATAAGCAGAAGAGTCCAAAATAAAGAAAAACTTCAATTATGTTTCCTAAAGAAGAATTAAAGGAAAGATTTCAAAAAGCTCACTGAGATTTAGTTATGGGGAAATAAATTATGATAGCATATTATAGCAATTTGATACGGGAATTTAAAATAATATAGATTGTGTTGGATAGATATCAAAACTTACATAAAAAAGTATGTGGGGTCTAATGGTACCTATGAGAGTGAACACATTTTTTATAAAAATTCACCTCCCCCTTTTCTGAGTTTCATCAAATGATCCCTGGTTTTAGATGCATGTATATTTTGTATTGTTCTTCCTAACATCATCTTATCTTTAAACACATCACTTTTTGAGACTGGGCTCTCCCCATTTCTATTCCCTGGTTACCTTTCAGTCACCATGCCAATGTGTATTACTTCTCCCTCTCAGGGAGAGAAGCTTGCTTCCCACAAAATCTATTGAGCACTCACTCCGTCGGAGCATGAAACAGAGTTTGTAATTCCCAGCATGTTTTTATTTTCTTTCTGCCCTAAAAGATTTTAGATCTAATGTCTTGCTTGATCAAAGACTTTTACATCAAAGGGAGAAGAACAAAGAGTAGGAAAGGGGAGTCTGGATCTACTTTAACTTTCCACTGGATTCCATCCACTGGGAGAAGAGCTCAGTGGCCTTCTGGATGCAGGGAGCATGGCCCAGTTCACAAGCCAGCCTCAGGAGCACCGAGCGAAGCATCCTGTCCCAGGCTGAGCCCTCGTCGCTCCAGCTTTGTGTGTCAATCATTTGCTTAAAATACCAGAGAAGGTAACGCTGCAGAAAACATGAGATAGTTTACAGAGAGGCTAAATTTAGTTGGTACCATAGCTCTTACTCACCCACCTAAAAGGCTCAACTTTGAATTTTCTGAAAAACACAGAACTACTTATCTTCATATTTTGCTTATATTTCTTCCTCCCACCTACTACACCAAAGAAATAGATTTTTGGCATTAGAAATGTGGCATTTTCTATCCGAGAAGGGATCATCAGTTGATCTAAGAGGGGACCGTCAATTAATAAAAAATCACCTTTAGTAGTAATACTTTGCCCAAAGAGTTGGCTTAAGAAAGAAAAGAGGGATGTCAATCATTAGGTGCTGGGGTTTGGCTGAGCTATCAGCCAGTGTCCTCAGCTTCTCCCTAATTTAACTCCTAGGAGTTAACTCCTCAGCTTCTCCCTAATTTAACTCACACAAAATACACTGAGCCTTGTTGATTTTCCAGATACTGTGTATTTACTTAATACATTTTCTAAAAGTAATACAAACCTTGAGATTTTCAGAGACGTCTGAAATATTCCTTCTGTCCATCATGTGGTATAACAATTCTAAATAACTCAGACCTTTAAGAAGTATAGGGCTGCTTGTTTCATGTTGGAGATAGCGAGTCAGGTTCAGGGCTTTGTCCAAGGTCAACCTTCCTGCACTGAGGTACAAAGCAAATATGGGTAGTTTGTACAGATCTCATAGTTCTTAATATTTTTAATATTAAAGCAAGTATGAAACAGAAAGCAATTAACAGAAGCAGTTCACCATAACCAGACCATTAGATTTAAATTCTAGTGTTGATACTAAGGAGCTGTGTGATCTTGGACAAATTACCTAACCTTTCTGGATCTAAGCTGCCTCCCTTGTATGATGAGAATCAATAATAATATCTTCCTCATAAGTTTATTGCAAGGATTGAGTTAAAATTTGAAAAAAAAAACACTTAGAATAATGCCTAGTCTATAGTGAGAATATAACAAATGAAATACATATTAGCTAACATTAAGATTTAGTACAGAATAATGAACATTTTTACATATTATGTCATTTTGTAATTGTTTCATTAGTGAGTCTTGTTTCTTAAAGCAAATTGAGAACTTTTAGGACAGGTGCCATGTCTATTTCTTTTTTAAAAATTTGTCTTCATGGAACTGAGAGAAAAACCTGAATATATTCTCTAGTTTTGCTTATCTTTAATTACTTGGTTTTAGTTGAATTTAAAGTCACCAATTTTTGAGGTCAGATAGCTGAACAATAAATTATTATTCTCCCACTAGCTTTTCTGTGGATAACATCTGAGATATATGGGTTTTATGATAACGGATATCCTGGTTACTTCTCAGGAACTTTTTTGTTGAAATGCCTCAACTGGGCCTGCAACAGGGGTTTTATGGGTGACCTTTTGATGTCAAGAGGCTGAAAATTCAGCCTTCAGGTCATGCTAACACTGCAATTTTCTGTACATTTGTCCCATGAAGAACTATGAAGACTGATAACGCATGTGCAGACCACCGATTGCTCTACCTCCAATCACCTCTCCCCACACCTCAGTCCACTCTGCTTCTTTATCCCTTCAATATCCATAAAGGTTATCCACTGGGAGAGGGATTTGAGACTTGGATCTCCCACATCCACAGTTGGCTTCCTTGCAAATAAACTCTTTTTCTTTGCAAAGCTCATTTCAATGATTTGCAGAGGGCAAAATGGAATGGGCTTGATAATAATTCTACCAGAAAAGTAGTGATCATTGTGAATAGGACAAATAAGTGTTTTTATCTTACTTAGTTCCAAAAGTTACATGTCTTTTTACATTTTCTTGCAGTAGAATAACAAGTAACTAGGATATTTTCTGCAGAGGAAATAAACCACTACATCCTCTGTCTTGGAAAGTGATTCTCAAGTGTGTTTCTGTGAGGCTATGATCCACACAAGGTCCTTAAGCAATTGTTGAGAGCATTCAACTCCCAGACTGCACACCATCACATGATGTGGAACATTCCAGAACAAAGGATTTCTCTGTTGCATATTTCATTAACATAATGCCCTACCTCCTTTGGTTTTGCGAATTTAAATTCATATTTAAAAAGAGAGAACAGAAGCTAGAAAGGAGTAAAAGTAAAAAGAGCCAAGTTCTATTGTGGCCTTATTCTTCTTAATCATAATGATGTACAACTTTAAAACACATTTATGGAATTTTTTTCTAAAAATTTCATCTGAAGATAGAACACTGAACCATATGCTCTATGATTCTGAGATCTGCTGTATTTTGTAAGAAACAAATCCACAAAATGTCACTACTCCTTCCTACATGTATAGGTATCATCAGATATGTAGCAGTTGATATCTTAGCACCAGCAATACGGGAAATGGCCTTCTAAGGTTGCAATTTAATGTTTACACATTAAAAACTAGTTTCTATGGTGCTTGATTTGTTGTTGTTTTCTTTTAAGCCTGGCCTAATTTATTTTTTACTAAAATTAATGCCATTATTAGAACTCGTCACTTTTATATTTGCCCACTTTTCTTTATTTTAATGTTAATATTTATTTATAATGAATCACTTTATATAGTTACTAAATTGTTTAATAACTATTAAACAATTACCTTTAAACTATTAAACTCTTTACCTGCCTCATGCTTCATTCAATACAAAGGATGTTATCTGAATGTTTGTTTAGCATGAGGAATAAACATTTATCAAAGCATAGACTTCAGTCTAACAGGAAATATCTATATTTATTTATTTGCATTCAATTTCAGTTAGATATGAAACGGTACCATATTCCTGAAGAGTCAATTCAGGATTTATTTTTGAGATGGAGGATTAAAGGAAAAAATACAACTTTTTTTTTTTTTTGGTAAGAAAAATACAGTTGCTGTTTTAATTCCATTCAACTCAGACAAGGTACATTTCAACAGAGCAAAAATCTAATTCAAAAAATATCCATTCCTGGACTAAATTCTGTCTCAAAAGTAAACATGATCACTGTTGCTTCTTTATCTCTAACATTGAAGCTTCATTAAGCAGGGAGGGCAGATTACATATATAATCTATATATAATTATATATATATATATATATATATGTATATATATATAATCAAAAGGGAATAGCAAGTAAGAATATTTAAGATCTGTTATGAGAGTTTTTAATTCTTTCCTCATAGAGTTGGCCATCCATATCTATGGATTCTACACATCTATGTATTCAACTGTGTGTTTAGAATATTTGGGGGAAATTTTGCCTGCACTGACTATATACAAACTTTTTGTCACTATTTCTAAACAATACAGTGTAACAATTTTACACAGTATAGATATTATGAGTAATAGAGAGGTAATTTAAAGTGTACAGGAGTATGTGCATAGGTTATATACAAATACTACACCATTTTATATAAGAGCCTTGAACAACTGCAAATTTTGGAATCACGGGAGATCCAGAACCAGAAATCAGAAGGATGACTGTACTGTCATTGTAACAGTATTATAGCAAATATAAACAAAGCAATTGGAAATTAGATGCAGGGGCAGAGGGGGACCCATAATTCACTACCCTGTAATTCACTCAGAGCATTTTGTAATAATTTCTTTGGTTTTTGTTTTCCCCATTGACTTTTTTTCTATTTGCACATAATAATATACAAATTTACATTCTGCTTTTATCCAACTTCATATCATTTTTATGTTGTCAATTTCTCTCCTATTCAACATATTATGTTTTAAACAATTTCTATTAGGCAACCTCAATAATGTTAACAGATGACATTTACTGAGCAGGCACTGTACTTAATGTTTTACCTAATGCAATCCTCAAAATAATCCTGTATGTTAGGCATTATTATTAATGGAATTTAAAGTCTACAAAATTTAGGCTAAAAAGGGTAAATAATTTGCTCAAATTGAGTTAACTAATAAGTGAAAATGTAGTAGTCATTTTATCTTTCTGTTTTAATTCAAAACTTGGACTATTGGTTTCACTGATCTGCCTACTAATGAAGAAAGGATTGTTTTTTCCACTAATGCATCAATAACTGTAGGTTTCTTCCTGCTAAGTTCAGACTACCAATAAGTTTTTAGGCTAGAAACAGCAAAAGGAACTTTCCCACTACTTGAAAGATGGGATTTCATTTTCAGAGTTGTCCATATTCTTCATTTTTCCTAGTTTTAAATTTTTAATCTATCTTTTCTGCAATCTGTTCAGAGTTCTCTAAGTAGACAAAACTCCTTCAACTAGCAATAATCTACTTCTTAGCTAGCCTATCTGCACCTGCTCTTATACAGCACGGAATTTTTCCTCATCTTGTCCTCCAATGTGCTGTGATATCATGATGTTCCTGAGACTCTTAGGGCTCAGGATTAAACCTCACTCTTCTTGCCTAACTGGGGGATTCTGTTATTCCAAGAAGCTTCACAGAAGAGATGTCCTGCTGGTTACTTTCATGCAATTTAATGTAAATAAGCATAGGAAAGGAAATAATAAGTCACATTGAATACAATGAGGATACTACAGAACAGTAATACTCCACCTGATCCTTATCACCCCCCCACCCATTGAAGACCTTGTAACCTGATATATTCCAAATATGATTTTGTTGATGATAAATTGAAAAGGAAAGAAAAAAACTTTGCTTTTTCACAGTAGTCTAAAGAGGAATAAATGTAAATGGCCAATTCATCTTTCATTTCCCTATCAATCTCATATTGATTTCCACACTGCAAGTAAAATGCTGAATGGATTGTGCCCCAAGCTAACCATTCATTTACAGTCATAAAGGTTGGTAATATATTTATACATTTTCATTTTAAGAGATTACATTGGTATTTGGTATAACAGCTACTACCATAAACAAATTTACAATTTGAGTCAAAAGTTCAAGAGACCTGAAGACTTATTGTATCTGAGGGAAAACAGCCCACCATGTACCATTTGACACTTTGGTTCTTGAGATACCACAGACATGGCCTAAAGATAGATCATCCACTGCACACCCCTTATGTTTGTTTTGTGGAAATGAAGGTTCACAGTTGCCAACTCTAATTTTTAAAAAATACTCTAGAAGTCATACTTTTCATATAAAATTATCCACATTTAAATATGTTGGGTTAGATTTATAAACACTGGGTTGGCTAAAATCTATTTTCAGTGGGTGGGCTTAGACATAGCGGCCAGTGTTTTACCTCCATTGAATTCTATATCATGTGAATGATCAATATTGAACATTTCATTCAGAAATCTAGCATATCCGGTTACAGGACAATTATTTCCTATGTAATCAGATGAAATTTTGCATTACCTAACCAGCTGAAAGGCATCGTGAATCAGACCTATTCTGTCCTTAGGCCTGAGAAGCGTATGGTTCTGGTTCAGCTGAGTAATCAGTTGGTCCCATCCATGCCCTTCATAGTGAACCAGGTAATAGCCATTTGAATCCACATTGAATTTTACCCAAGTGGTTTTTTCAGCTAAGTCCAGAGTATCTAAAAGGAAAAAAATTGTCAGAGGCATTTCATTATCAACATACATATCAGAAACTTCTCCAAAACTATTAGTTTAATAGTAACACTAATGAATCAATGAGAAGACAACGTTTTGGAAGACACATGTTGATATTCATTTGCTTAGTCCCTTGAATGGTTTATTTGAAGAAGATGATCTTATTAAACTTATAAAAGTTAATTCACAGGAATAGTACTACTGAATTTGTTCTAAAAAACATAGTCTATCCAGGTATAATGGCATGTAAGAACCCAGTTAACCAGATGAGGGACATAATTGAAATCTAGCTTCCTTTATTTGTGTCATTGAAATATGTATATAGATGTAAATTGGAGATCCATTCATCTAGTTCTTATTATGATGAATAAAAGAACTGGAGTTGAACATGATGTTATATTTGAAAAACTAAATTTTTATTGGCATTGAGAGGTGAAATTAAAATTATATATTTTTAATACAACATACATCTAGGTAGTAAAATTGCATTATAGGCCTTTCAACAGTATGTGAGGTCTAGTCCTCATTCAAAATTTGATGAAAAATTAGAGCTCAGGAGGAGTTAAGTTTCTGAAGATCACACATCTAATAAGTAACAGAATGAGGATCTGAATCCAGGACCAATCCCAGAACAAATGCTTTTTCCCACTAACAGCCTGGCTTCATGCATTATTCATACAATGGATTAGTAGGTATTAAGGAACATAAGATAGGATTCCCTTATTTCTTGATCTAAATTCAAACTAAAACTAATGTGAAAAGCACAAGAGAGCTTACCACTGCATGAAAAATTCAGACTTTCTATCTGAAGGTAACTTTAATAAGAATTTATCAATAAATGAGAACTTCCCTCAAACATAAATCTTTTTATTAGTCTTTTATTGATAGTATCTTTCCTCCAATAACTCAAAACATATTTATTTTCAGCACTGAGACACCTATTTGGCTAATAAGTGTATTACCTGTCTTTGATTTTAGAATATGTCTATGGATCGTGTTCGAGGAACTCGTAGAGTAGGTCAGTGGGATGTGCCACAGGAACCTGTAGTGAAAAGTAGAGGGTTACAGAATAAATGAATGTTCATTCCAGTTTTCACTCGGTCAGACTCCACGGAGAGTAAAAAGCACCAAAGCACCCAGACCTCACTCCTATCAGTGGCCTTGTGAAATGTTCTGGCTATGGCTATTGTATCCTTGGGATACAAAAATTTCTTTCATGATGATTATGTAGGAGCAGTGATATATACCAAACTGAACTTTGCCACAAGTACCTGTTATTTGCTGTCCAAATCTCACACCATAACAAATTCTATTTTTTGTGAAAGAAAAAATTACCAATCTTCTTATATTTCCAAAATTTCTATCAGCCTGATGTTGATTCAAATAACTAAACTGAATCTGTAGGGAATCCTTAAGAGGTAAAGAACTCACTTCAGTCTGATTTTTCACTTATCCTCTTCTTCAACAGAATCATTGCCCTAATGCTAAGTGGCTGCAAGTCTGTGACCACCAATACTTCAGCCAATGCAGGAAAGCTTAGCTCAGAGAACAGAAAAGCAGAGTGGATTCGAGGTCCAGGCCTATTACTTTCAATGGCCTTACCATAATAAATCACAGAAATTGACTATTTTCTAAACTAACTTTCTACAGCTTCTCGAGTTCATTTTCTTTCTTATCAAGACATCTTAGCCATAGTAATCCTACCCATGTAAAATCATGCACTTGATAACACCAATAGGTTATAAAATAGAAAGGGAATGCACAAATGGGAGGGAAAAAAATCTACCAAACTGCACTATGTCCATGTATGAATACTCCAGAGTGAATCCTGCTTAGATGTACTTATAATGCACTAATTAAAGTAATAATAATAATAAAAGGGAGATAGGTAGAGTTGAGCAAGTGGATTGGGGGAGAAAGGAAGGGAAGGAAAGGAAAGAGGGCAAGTACTGGGGAGTGAGATTGATCAACTTATGTGTATGTATGAATATGGCATAATGAATCCTAGTATTATATATAACTAAAATGCACCATTAAAAAATAAAAAATAATAAACACCATGTAAAATGTAAATTTGAAAAAGGGAAACAACATATACTAGCTCTATCTAGTAAAGTTTCAGAAGAAACAGTTTATGTGTTAACCTAGAGAGTACAGATATTTAACAAGCAAATCTGACATCTTTACCTAGAAAGGTAAAATGGGCCCATAAATATTGCCAAGAATTAATGGATTGGGACTCATGGATGGATTTTGGACATGGAGAAAGAATAGCACTAGTTGAGTTTGGATACCCATGAATCAGAGGGCCATCATTTTATAAGAATCATTTAAATTTGTTCCAGATGGAGGGAAAATACAAATCTCTCTCTCTCTCTCTCTCTCTCTCTCTCTGTGTGTGTGTGTGTGTGTGTGTGTGTGTGTGTGTATTTATTCTGGGTAATCCATAGTTTTCAACTCTCTCATGACATTTTGCAAAATGGTGACTCCTGCTTTTCTAGCATTGAATCAAACATAAATTTCCCAGACTGTACTACTAAATTATAAGTTGCCTAAGCTCTGAGTTTTAGACTTGAGAAGAACACACAGAAAAAGGGAAAGACGTGCACACAGAGAAACAGATGAGAATTGCTATGGATTATCAATATGTAAATGATACAACAAAAAATAAAAAGAACACATATACTCTATGTGTTACAGACCTCCATTTGCTTTTCACTTTTAGAGAAATTATAGAATTATTCAACAGGTGCATTCTGAGCAAAAGAAAAAATAATCATAAGAGCCAGCACAGGTTAATATAGATTATTTCATTTTAAATCAACTTCATTTATCTTAAAGATAGGACTATAGATCAGAGAACTGTGGATGGTATTGTGTTACTTGATTTCAGTGATGCCTTTGACAAATTTTTGCAGGAAAGGCAAAGGTGAACAAGATAATAGTGTGGTTAATTGAATTTGCCTTCAGTATTACCAAGAATATCATGTTTTCAGACATTATATTTATAGATTATTGCTGAAAAATGAAAGTCAATAGAAGGCTTTACATCTAATTTATCACATAGGAATGTCATTTCTCTAAAGATAAGAAGCATACCTGAGATAATTCTTCTTAGGTGTTGGCCAATCACTCCATTTGAGAGTGCCCAGAAATCAGTGTAACATAATAGAAACATAACCAACCATTCTGCATCAGAACCAAGGCTCTGAAAGCAGCATGGAACTTCTAAGAATGGAGTTGTTGAACAAAGCCATCTGGGCCACCTGAAACTCTTTAAATCTGTTATCAAGGCTCGTTTAGGCCTGATTTCTATAAAGAAATTATATCCTGCAGAGCTACCAGAGGAGCTGGGAGAAAGTGAACAGAATAATGAGCAAACTGAGATGAGATAAACTAGATACAAAAAGAAAATCAGCCACCTTTCCTGCAGGGCCCTCCATTCGGGGTCCTCTTTGAAAACTCCCTCCAGAAAGCGCTCCTGTTGTATGCTGAGTGAACACCCATCTTGTTTAACCACCACCAGGGGGATTCCTTTCTGGAGAGTCCATGTAGTCATCATCTCTTTGATCTTATTTTCTTCGAGAAAAGCAAGCTGAAATGACAAGAGACTTTGGTAACTCAAGAAGGAGGGGAGATTCCAAAAGGAGATCGGAAGCTTTCATCTCCTTGGATGTCAGAAGCAAGGTTCAGGGAGGGAGACCAGCATGAATCCTCTGCTGGTCTCCCAGTGCAGGGCAATCTAAATCACTGGATTGGGGCAGGCCACCCTCTGCAGGTTTCCTGAGTGGGGGATACACAGGGGAGTTTGCAGGGCTAACTAGAAAAGCCAGCAAGGAAGCGGTTGAGACTGGAGCGTCTCTCTTGTTCCCTTTTATAAAAATGAAAAACAAAAGTTCCCTCTCTGTTGTAATAACTGGAATCCAGGCAGAGAGGGTTAGAAGGGAAATGTCTGTCTTTAGGGAAGTTTCAAATATTCCAACAGAGATATACTGAATGGAGCATGGAACCTAACTTCTGTGCTTCTAATATGGATTTCTGATCACTGGGTGATGATGAAACTTTCCTTAGAAACATTGACTTACAGGATTACCATGACTCTTAAAAAGAAAAAAAAAAAAAAAGAAAGAAAAGAAAAAAAGTTTGCCTTTTTCTCCACAATGCATTTTTCTCCCTCCTGCTGCAGTACTTCTATAGCATCCAAAGGTAACAACAACACAAAAAGTCTCAAGATAACCAGACAGACACTATTTCCAAACCTAGAAACATACTTGATTTGGCATTTTTTTTTTAGAGACTAAGAGATGCCAGTGCAGTAACAACCACTCAAAAGAATTTTGCGCTATTTTTAGCAAGCAGTGTAGCTGTGGGAAAGCTGAATTAAGACAACAGAAATATTGTAATAATAGCATCAATGCCCTAAAAGGCCTGACCATTCCTCCTTCTGTCAGCTTTGTTTCCAGGAAAATTGTGGAGTCTCTCTTCCTCTCCAATTATTTAAAGGAATAGATGGGCCATTTTTTATGCCCTACTCATTCCAGGTCAGGTGATGCACCAGATCTTTCTTCTTCTCTTTATACTTACTGTGTCACTTTTCACCTGGGAATCAGAATAACAAATTCCACCAGATGTAAAATCACCTTCTAAACAACTCTAGAACACAAGAAAAAACGCAGTCATTTAGGAACTGATTATTGGTGGCAATTGTGTATTAGACATGAGCAGATATTTATTATGATAGCTATGTGAAAATATAATGCATCTAGACACCTTAATGAACATGAAAATGAAAAACAGGTATCTTTGTAGTGATCAAATGATAGAAATACACACAAGTTATTATTTTGTGTTTTGTGTGTGTGTGTGTAAAGTTTCCAAAAATGTTCAGTGTGGTCAATAACTATTTTAAGAAAGAGCACACAAAAAAAATAAATAAAAATGAAAATAAAATGAGATAATGCACATGAAAGTGTTTTTAAACTACACAATGCTATGCAAATATCTAGCAAATTTGTTACTGTCCCTAGGATGCAAATGCTTATAAAAATGAGAAGACTTCTTCACCTAACATGGTTAGATTCTTCTACCTATAGGCACAAATTCTCCCAGTTCAATTATTCTATAAAAATTGTTTTCTTTGCAGTAGAAATGTAAAAATATTTTAATAAATATTAGAATAATCTGAGCTGTGTTCTGCTTTGTCTTTTCTATGAGTCCCAAAGATAAAGAGATTATGAGTTATTTAATCAATTGTTAACTTTATTAATCACTATTCTATCAACAATATTCTACGTGCCGTAGCATTGAAAAAATAGGCATTATTCATGTTCTTAAGCAAATTATTATTATTATTTCCAAATCCATATACACCAATAAAAGACAGCATCATTTTGTGGAACAGTTCATAAATGCATTCAACAAAGAGATAAACTAGTGAGCACTGAAATAATCCATAGAAGGAGGCAGGCAATTCTCAGATGGATCTTAAAAGCTGCATAGCATTTAAATTATTGAAAAAAGGAAAGGGTATTTGAGGTTGCAAGGACACTAGAAACAAAGGCACAACAATGCAGGAATCGAGCAGGAGTTCATCTAATATGGGAAAATATTAGTTTTATGCAACAAAAAAATGCATATTGGAGAATAAAGTTGAATAGGTAGAATTCAAACTTAAAAGTTGGCCAAGAAAAGTAGGTGTTACATGTCAGGGATTGCAAAGCTATGAAATATTTTGAAAAAAAGGAGATAAAAGTGAAAGAAGGGAAACCAATGACAGCAAGGTCAAACAGTGAATCCATCTCAGGGTGATATCCTGGTCTAGTGTGTTGCCAGAGAAAATAGAAAGGAGCTGCCTTCTAGAGAAACTGACCTGGCAAGTAGGAGAAATGTTGTTGACTGACAACACAGCTACTTATAAACTTTTGTGATTATCCTACAACTTTTTAGACTTAACAGTCTACTGTAATTCAACATAGGACTTACATTTGACAGACTGCCCCACAAGTCATCATTCTTAGCATTTCTATAGCTGAACTTCTTTAAGTAGTGAATTATGCCTTCCTGGAATTTCTCCTCACCCAGGAAATCCTTGAGCATATTCAAAATGCAAGCTCCCTTTAAAAAGAAAAAAAAGCAGAAAGAAAACAGATAAAGGAAAAGGTAGTATGATATGCTTTTTAAAATAAGCTTAAATTTTATGGAACATGTGATGTCCAAAAAATTAATAGAAAATAAAAAAATGAAACAGGTAGTAGTAGACAAGTACTAATGGCTTAAACTGTTGACTTTACAGTTACTCTATTTCTTCTGAAAGAAGAACTTCTACCTGCACACAACATTTTCTACCTTGTTATAAGAAACTGCATCAAACATTTCCTGTATCTGAGTAGGAGTTTCTGCTGGTTTGGAGATGGGACGAGATGAATTCAATGAATCTCTTGTGATTACTGCATAACACACATCGAAAAAGTAGTCATCCTAAATAGGAGAGAAAACTTTTAGGTTTTAGTTGGCACTCTAAGGACAATATAAAAACACATTTAGTTTAGTAAGATGTTGTTAGAGATAAAAATTTGATCAATATTTCTTCTAAGATGCTTCTTTCTCTTTATTTATATTCCCCTTTTGCCAATTCTCTACTTTAAAATGGTACAAATCCAACATTCCCTCAGACATTGCCTGAATGTTTACCATCTACCAAGCCCTTGAGTACAGAAATAAAAATAATTGTTTCTATTTAGTGAATATTTCCTGTGTACTAGGACCATCATCTGCAATCCTTTCAAAATCCCGCGAGGTAGAGGCATTATATGCATTTTACTAGTGAGAATGTGTTAAGTGTCGAGATTAATGTACTGAATCAGTGTGTAGGAAATAACAAGAAGACCCTGACTTTGAATCCACATGTACTGGGCTAAATGTCGACCCCCAAAGAGCTGATTAAACATTACTGGGGCTAGAGGTGTGGCTCACTGGTAGCATGCTCGTCTGGCATGTGTGAGGCACTGGGTTCGATCCTCAGCACCACATAAAAATAAATTAATTAAATAAAGGTATCGTGTCCATCTACAACTAAAAACATATTTAAACAAACAAACAAACAAAAAGACATTACTAACCACCTCAAGATGTGGATTTGGAAAATGATCAGGCCACTACATTTATTTAAAATAAAGGATAAGCTTGCTGCATACTGTGGTGCCCACCTGTAATCCCAGCAACTCAGGAGGATCACAAGTTTAAGGCCATCCTTGGCAATTTAGTGAGACTCTGTCTCAAAATAAAAATTGGAAAGATTTGGGGGTGTAGCTCAGTAGTTAAAACAACAAAACAACAACAACAATAAAGCCACAGGTTTGTTCCCCTGCACTAAAAAATACTTAAATTAATAGAATTTTAAAAAGTAAGAGACCAGTCATTTTCTTCAAAGGACTTGAATAAAGTTCTTTGCACACATTGGGGAAGCCAGCAGGCCCTTTGGAAATGCTACAGGAATGTGACCCAATTGTGTCCAATTCAGGTGATGTGCTAAGAACTCTGCATAGTACACAGTAGCCATGGCAGTGCTGTTCAAGTATACTGACAGTGATATTTTCCCATATATGTTTGCATTAGCTTGCTGTATGTTTATGCTAGCTTGCTTTCTCTGTATGCTCCATTTGGGGGGAGATTTTTATGCTAATTGTTTTCTAAAATATTCAATGTTTCATCCAGATCTGTGAACTGTTTTATGTATCAAAAACCCTGTGATTATAAAATACATTGCTAGGTAGTTTTTAATATTCACTCAAAACTTTAGTACTAAGTCAATGAATCTTTAGGGCATATGGCATGACACACAAAATTATGAACTTACAAATTGCAGTTCTGGATATGTAGCATTGACAGAGATAAGTTCCATGTAATTTGCAAAACCCTCATTAAGCCAGATATCATTCCACCATTCCATTGTAACCAGGTTGCCAAACCACTAGGAAGTAAAAACTCAATGTTACTAGAATTCAAATAATATCGAAAAAAAATTTAACTGTAGCAAAATATACCATAGCTGCTAACTTTTCAAAATTATTGCTAATTAAGGCCTCTCCCTCATCTTTGCTGCCCTTTTCTCTCTGCACGATTTCCTTCTACTGATTTTTCTGACTTTTTGTTCTCACCACCATGTTTTTGCTTGTTTCCTCTTTCTTGATTTTGTATCCTCCTTGACCCTAATGTTCTTGCTTCTGTTCTATCCACTGAACATTTCTTAGCTCAGATTTAATATTGAGGAAGAAAAGGAAATTTTTTTCTTTCTTTTTTTTTTTTTAGGGGTAGTTTTTCTTTCTCGAACAATAAGAATAATCTCTTGTCTGATTTAAGATAATGGCCACGGGAGAAAAATGAGCCAAAATGTCCTTGGTGAGGTCATCCTTTAAGGAGTAGGTACTTAAGAAAATCATAAGAATTCATTTAGAACTCTCAGATTATTATAAAAAAATACTGATGATCAAATTTAGTCATTAACTTCTGACCCTGATATCTAAGGATTAATTTGGCCACCCAAAAGAATTAAATTCTAAGATTTAAGATGCACATTTAAATAAAAATGAATGATAAAAATAATCTAAATAGAGATTTATCTTTGACCAAGATTTCATCTGTATCATGAATTTTAAATATTTGTCTTTCACATTTTATTATGTTTTTTATGTATTTAGCCTATATGCCCAATACTGTGCTTCTCATATATGCTTTTTAGGGTTGAAATCTCCAGATAAACCAGAAGCTTAACCATTAAGATTCTAAGACTTAGAAATGCCTTGTTACAGTTATGATACAGAAAACTCTAGGTCTTTAGCCTCTTGAAATCTTCAGCTCTACTCCTTTTGTGACAACTCTCAGATCATTTTGCAAGTGGACATAAATCTTTCTAAGGTCATTTGTGGGAAGGGACAGAAAGTTTCCCTCAATTAATTGTTGAATATGGAAAGCACAGATTGAACTGAATCTGATAACTTCACCAGCGAAAGTAGTTTATCCATTCATTCAACAAATACCTACTGAGAATCTACTGTATCTCAGGCACCATGCCATATATCAGAAATACAAAAATATATATAATGTAGCCACTGCCTTAATATAAATAATGCAAGTCAACCAGTAGACAAATAAATGCAACAAAGTGTTATTGGTGCTAAGATCCATTGATGTCTTTGCTAGGGGCAGAAAAGATTCCAGGAAAAAATAACCATTTCTTTGAGGAGAACATGTAGGGCACTTAGAAAATGACTTATTTCCTGAGATTTTCAAGTAGTCCTTAGGTATGCTGGTGTATCAAATTGCAGGAGCAAAGGTGTAAGGGGGTGTTCAGGAAATAACAAGTAGTATAGGATGGCTAAAGCTTCAGGGGTAGATAAAAAATGAAGCTGGAGAGCTGGAAGGAGGCTGGTTCATGGAGGCCTTACATGCCATGCTAGGAACCCAACTGGCTTTGGAGAATCCTTTGCCATGGTTATACGCAAGGATGACATGATGACATGGACATCATTGGACAGACAAAATAATCAAGGCAAAAATTCAAATGCTGTCTGCTGCTTCAGCCCTAGACTCTGTACTTCTGTGAAAAAGAAGCTGTTAAACGAAGGCCCAGAGGGAGGGAGCATCAAGCCTCAAAGGTAGAGCTCGCAGACTATTTCCCCACAAACAATGAACAAAATTAGAACTCTCTAGACCCAGTTAAGTGCTTTAGAGCTCTCAGTGACTTATGATTGAAGCACCTAAAATAGTCATTGGGGAGATTCTGAACCAGAGGAAGCAGCATACATGTTCTCAAAGTACAGTGCTGAAAGCATGGATCCCTGTGTAATGGCGACTGAGTACTTAGTTCAAAGCTACTCAACACATTGTTATTATGTTGGTGATCAAGGATGAAGTTAAAAATTTTTAGAGAAGAGATTTTACCAACTTCTACAATAAAATGATATCTGCCCATGTGGTCAAAGTGAACTTCCAATGTTATTAATAATTTACTGTATTAGAGTGTTTAGAAATAAAATAGAGTGGAAAATAAAATAGAGTGGAAAATAAAATAGAGTGGAAATGATCTCTGATAACTATAGACTAGTTTTACAGTTCCATACTGGTTGTAATACTTATTTTTCAGAGGTAGTATTAATGGTTATTGTCTTCATTAGTGACACATTGAGTGCTTAACAATATGATGGGCGCAGACACCTTCTTTATCTATGATATTCACAACAATCTTATGAAGCAGGAACTAACTTTATTTCATACATTAGCTCATGAGTAATTTACTTGAGCTACTTCATTATGGCTATACAACCACAGGATCTAACCGAAGGGAGATTGATTTGGCCCTACATTGCAATGCCAGGAAACCATAAGAAATATTTTGAAAGAAGTTTTTATAAGGTTACTAATTCTGTGCTCTGTGTGTCTGCATGATTCTCATCCCTTTCCCCAAAGGACATTTAAGGGCTTTTCCTTGAAGAGTTTTAAAAGATAAATTTAGTGGTCACTCTTGTGATAAAACTCTAGTATAAGCCCTACAGTCAAAGGCTGAGTCCTCTGCTATTTGACACATTGTGTTGTACCTGATAACCACTGAGTTCCCCTCTATAAGGAAAATGCTGATTTTATGTTGTTTCAGGAATATTGGTCGTGGTCTGTATGATGCTCTTTATAGTCTGACACAAGAAAATATCATGAGTGTGACCTACCTGGTGTGCTAGCTCATGGGCTATGACTTTTGTGATCCACATTTTATCAGAAACAGAAGAGGTTCTGGGATCAAAGAGCAATGATGTCTCTCTGTATGTAATAAGGCCCCAATTTTCCATGGCTCCAGGCCCAAAGTCAGGAATAGCAACTAAATCTAGGACAGAATAATAACAATAGTTGATCATTATGGCTTCCTCACTGAAGTAGAATTTTCTCCCTGCCCATACACACCATGATCTTTCAGTGAGTATATACAATTTTCTGAAAATATATATAAAAGAATCTTAACATTGATTTGGTGTCTTGTAGTTGCATTGAAAACAATCAGTATCCATTAGCAAGTAGAATAAACTCTCCCCATATATTTTTGTGGCTAAAGTAACTTACTGACCCTTGACCATTTTTTTCCCTGAAAGTGCCAAACTCTGAAAAAAATTTAGGTGCATTACTGCCAAGAAAATAATTTATTTTAAAAATGCCCATAGTTTGTTTTATATTAGCAGTATTTTAAATCTTTAAAAATAAAAGGCATCAGCCGGGTGCAATGACACACTCCTATAATCCCAATAGCTTGGGAAGTTGTGGCAGGAGGATCACGAGTTCAAAGCCAGCCTCAGTATAGCAAGACCCTAAGCAACTCAGGGAGACCCTGTCTCTAAATAAAATATTTTTAAAAAAGGACTGGGGGGCTGGGAATGTGGCTCAAGTGGTAGCGCGCTCGCCTGGCATGCGTGCGGCCCGGGTTCGACCATCAGCACCACATACAAACAAAGATGTTGTGTCCACCGAAAAACTAAAAAATAAATAAGGGGGTTGGGGACATAGGACATAGCTCAGTGGTAGAGTGCTTGCTTCACACACGCAAAGCCCTGAGTTCAGTTCCCAGCATCGCAAAAAAAAAAAAAAAAGGACTGGGGATGTGGTTCAGTGGTTAAGCACCTCTAGATTCAATTCCCAGTGCCAAAAATAAATAAATAAGTAGTATGAAATAATTTCTAGTCATGTTTGAGATCCACCAAAAATGAACTCATTTCTTAAAAAAGAACTTTCAATCCTCCTGCCTCAGCCTCCCAAGTCACTGGGATTGTGGGCATGCATTACTACACCTGATTATTTAACAGTTTTAATGTACTTTGCACATTATAAAAATGTTTGTTTGTTTATTTATTTTTGGTACTGGGAATTGCTCAGTGTGCTTTAACAGTGAGCTATATCCCTAGTAAAGTACTGAACTCTATCCCTAGTTTTTTTTTTTTAATTTATTTTTTAACTTTGAAGCTGGGTCTTACTAAGTTATTTAGGCTGGCCTTGAACTTACAGTCTTCCTGCCTCAGCCTTTTGAGCTGCTGTGATTATTGCCATGTGTCTGGCTGCAACTTTTATTTTTTAAGATAGGAAATTAAATCCAAGGTAGACTATGAGTATCATCACACCCAAATTAAATTTTCTGTTCTTCCCAATTTTAAAAATTTGTGCCATAGTCTTATCTTTTAATTTCAATGACCAGTATGGATAATATTTGGAAGGGCAGTTTTTAGCTCTTTGGTTACATAAACCTTTGACAGCTTTTAGAAAAGAGAGCTGATCTTATACAAATATAGTATAGATAACGCTCCAGAAAAATCATGCAATTCTAATATGCAATGAATATTTTAATATTAAACCTGATGAAGTAATAGAAAAATGATCCACTCTACTTGGGGTTCTCATAAGTACTATATTTTCTCTTTTCTTCTATTTTTTTTTTATTTCTTGGAGGTTTTCTTTCTTTCTTTTTCCTCTAATATTTTGGGGCATTAAAATTATACCTAATAGTGGGATTTGTTTTTACCTATTTGTACATACACATAACATAATTTGATCAATTTAATTCCCCAGTATTATACTTTCTATGTTCAAGGAACATCTCTGGAAAACACATTTTTCCTTCCTGGGCTAACTGAATCTCTTCAATGTTCATATAAACAGGGATGAAATCAAAGCAAGTTCTATGAGCAAATATAAAGGCAATGATGTAGAATATGAACATACCCAATTTGGGGAGTGGATAGTTGATATCAAAGTACTTTTCATAAAAATCAAGTAGCTTCAGTGATGCTTGCAAAGCATAATGCATTTGATTCCATTTGTCTGGGGATGCATAGATGGACACCTGGGAAATGCGGATCAGAAATGGTCTTTTAGTGACAGCTCTTGGTTACAACTCCATTTCTGACAACTCTTATCCACAGAAAGACAGACTGAATTTTTCAAGAAAGTATTAAGATACCTTTAGCATGGTGTCAATAAGATATAAGGGGTTCTATGAAGTATTGAGACAAAAGCCAGTTTTGAAAATTATAAATAACCTGTATTTTCTGTTACAATCAACTCCCTGAGTGTTGATTTATAAATTACTAGCTATATTAACCCATTATGAGAACCCACTTGAGTATATCATATCAGTGATGATATACTCTGGCACTTGAAACCAATATTCCAAAATTATGGTCATAAGTAAAACATAGATCCTATTGCTATGTGGAAAAACCTTTAAGAATTTATAGATTCCACCCCATCCCCTTTCTAGCTTGTTTTAAGCTAAGAAATGTTCAAGTATATTCATTAATTCCCCCAAAGTAACTAGCAGTTAAATAGAAAAAAAGCAAAATTAGATTCCAGTTTTCTTAGCTTCCAAGTATAGGGCTAAAGGGCTATTTTCATTTTATGATCTATTTTCATGCTCTGAATTAACTGAAGTCCCTCAGAACTTTCATGCAGGGGATATGCAAATAGTTACCAATTTTTTTAATGGTTTACCAGGCACTCTACTAAATGCTTACAAGTAAATTCTAACTTAATAATCATACACACACCTCCTGTGAAGTACATGCTATTATCTTTATTTTACAGATGAAACAAGGGAAACAAAATACATGGAGGTTAAATGCCATGTTACAAATCACACAGGTAGAAAGTTATAGATCTTGGCTGTGAATCCAAGAAAGCTGATAGAAACATGTCCCTCTAAAGTGAAGTGCCACCTGACTGCCCGCCCCCCAACACCCACATCTATGCACATATATATCTATGTTCAGAGATGCTTTGATATGTATGCAGACACATAACTCATAATACATATCTACATAAGCATATGTGTATGTAAGCTATAATAGCAATTTTAGAACCATTTTTCATAAGTATTATTTTATGGTTCTTTGAAGATGTTTTCACATCTATAATTTGGTTCCTCATGGCAGGAAGTTCTTTTTTATTTCTATAGTGTCTCCACTGATGTTAGTAAAAATGTAACTGCAAGATAATTATTGGGCATTCTGATAAATTTTCTCAAGTAATTAAGACTCTAAAAATAATGAAGATCTCCTTTTATTGAGGTAAAAAAGTCATAGAAAACAAGTAGGAACAATAGGAATGCCCTAAAGCAAGATGTTGATTTTTAAAATCTTCATGCAATTATTAATATCATATTTTAGAAAAATATTTAATGGCATTTAATTTTTATGTTATATTTTGGTAAAAATTCTGTAAAAGACACCCATGATGTATTATTTTACAAAAGTGTATATATATATATATTTAAAAAAATACATACATAAATATATACAGTATGTAGTGTTACTATGTCCACAAAATATGCTTATGTACATACAGAAAATATTTGGAAAGATTAAATTATGATTATGAGTAGCTGTGTCTTGGTGATAGGATAAAGGAACATTTTTAATTTAATTTTTAACCTATTCTACTATGTAAAATAAGAAAAAATACTTTAATGATAAGGGGGAAAGCCTAAGAAAATAATTAAAAGCTCATTGCTTTCAGGATACTATTCTGAACTGGGTATGAAATTAGAAGTTAATCTTACCTTGACTCCTGATGAAGTTGTACCACTCACCGAATTGAAATCACAAACTATATAGGCTACAAGGTAGGTACTCATTTTCACAGTAGTTGCAAAGTGGTCTTCTAAGAGGCCTCCTTGAAGTTCAATTGTTTTAACCTACAGCAAAGGAAAGGAATAAATATTTGAGAACTGGGTATTTCATGACCACGACTGGCTTATGGCAGGAGAGTTAGAGGGAAGCCTGACACTCTGAAGGATCCTCGATGCCTTTCTAGATCAATGAACTCTTTTTACTTTCTGAGGTCTCTCGTAGCTCTATTTCTTTTATCCTCTTGACAACACAATGCAGTGCTTTTGGGATCACAAAATGATGTCCCTTACATTTGTGTGTGTGTGTGTGTGTGTGTGTATGTATATATATATATATATATATATATATATATATATATATATATATAATCTTAGATGCTTCTACATTCTTAAAATGGAATAACCTCCAGCATTGGCATCGATTCAAGTTCTGGGGTTCTAAGCACAAATGCCAGAGAATGACCCCTTTCCCTTTGTTGCATAATAAATAAACCTTTGCAGTGCAAGGAAATGGGAGGCAAAACTGTGCTAGATACTTTACATTATCTTTTAATCCTCTTATGTGGGTGTGAGGTAGGTGTTATTTCACAGGTGAGGAAGCAGAAGGCTCAGAAATGTTAACTGAATTGCCGAGATCACACGACTAGTTTCACAGCAAGACCAAAATATGGATGTGACCCTGTGATTCCAAAGATGCTGCTCATTCTTTCTTTTTCTGCATGACAGCTTGAGTCATAATCTTATTTTATCTTTGCTTCATTGATTCAGCAATGAAAGCAGTCAGGCCAAGAAGGTCATTAGTAATTTAAGCTTCTGTCCATCTACTGAGGAAGCAGAAGGTTTTCAGCCTGTAGACTGGTCAGCTGCATCCATTAAATTCACTGAGAAATTACTAAATTCTACCTTTGCTTAGTCTGAGTGGCTTGTGCCAGAGATAGTCTGCACCATGTTATGCACACTGCTCCTAAATACTGAATGGATACAGATCCAATCATCTGAAAATTCCACTTTCTTCAAATTTGTCAAAATGTAAAATTTTCCTGACCCACCCCTAGCCCTTTTTAAGAAGTCAGGCTGTTAACAGCACTGACCATGGTTTATTAAGCATATTTTATTTGTTGGATAAGATTACAGTTTGCTTCAACCAGAGAACATAGCTTGAAGGATTACAATAAACTGTTTGGAATACTACAACAGCAAATGTTTGTGGTTTTAAAATGTACAGATTTCTATTGAAAAAAAAATGTATTTCTGAGTTTCAATAAAGCAGAAGATACTGATCAAATATTCTAAGAAAGTTAGAATTTTAATTGGGCTGTATTTTTTAACTCTATGCAGCAAATTAATTTTGCCCCAAAATGATCTCTTTGAGGAATCTGATTCAGTTAGTGTTTTATGAATCCCTAGCAAAGGAACTGTCTTAAGTGGAGGACAATGGGCAGGTAGCACTGTGGACTTCTGCAAATGTCAAGACCATTAAGCCTTGGATGTTTGGATGGGTTATGAGAAGAGGTGGTGAATCCATGGGACTATGAGAAAATGAGAGTCTGGACCACTTGAAAGCTGGTAGCCGAGATGATCAAGAGGTAGATACGTATTTGCCCTGATTTCTGCCTCCAGAGAGACAGTCCATGGAAGCCAAGTTTTGCATGGGAGCCTGGAGTGACCCATGAGGATTAGCATTTCCTTAAATAGAAGTGCATGGGATATTCACATAAGTTCTTCCAGAATGGTGATGTAAGCTCCAATTATAAAGCACTCATTGCTGGACAAGAATTTAGCTAGTTTCTCAATGCCAGAAGAACTGTACTTGCATAGTAAATATCACAGCAGGTATGTTTTCCCTTAAGGTGGAAAGGAGCCAAGGAAATGCCCCAAGGTATGCTGCCAACTAGTGCTTGGGTGGCCCCTACTTCCCTTAAATATTTTATTCTCAGTTAAACAGATTGAGAATTTCATGTGTGTTGCTTCATCCCATCGGACCACAACTCATCTTATTTGTTGCAACTATTATCCAGAGAGTATAAAAGACTGGATTGGGGAACAAAAAAGCAAGTTATACTAGTATTCACTGTAAAGAGCATGAACCAGAGCTGCTTCAGCCAGCTGAGCCAATGCAGAGATTCAAGGATTGGATGAGATATTTTCACAGTGTTGGCTGATTTTTTTTTTTTTAAATCCAGGGGCACTTAACCACTGAGTTACATCCTTAGCTTTTTTTGTGTGTGTGTGTTATTTATTTAGAGACAGAGTTTCACTGAGTTGCTTAGGGCCTCGATAAGCTGCTGAGGCTGGTTTTGAACTCGCTACTCTCCTGAGCTGGGAGAATGGGGCATAGTGCCTGGTTGATTTTTCTTAAATAGGAGAAGTTACCAGAGGTTTCTAAAGATATCCAAAATTCTAATATAATAACAGTAGTGTCAATTTTTGTTTGCGTAATATATTAATGAACAGTCCTACTTTACCCTCCATATGAAAAATTATATTAATAAAAAGCTCGCAGGAAAGAGACGGAATGACATATTGCCTTTAAATGAACATGCTGTTGGAAAGAAGCCTCAGAGCTAAGGTAGCAGATCATTAATACTGAAAATGAAAGAGCAAATTAAACTTCTGTCTGTTTGATCATGGAAAAATTGAAGCGTATGTGTCACCTACAGTTTGCACATTTTCCCTTAGTCTTCCCTGCTAATATTTCAGAGAAAATGTGTTTTCCAGCATTAAAATAAAATCTGAGGAAATGCAGTGTCAGAGCACAGTCTCTTTTCTCTCTTGCATCTGCAGAGGCCAGGCCCTCTTTAGAGCAGAGTGGAAAACAACTATAGGGCCATTTGATGGCTGCTGGTAACCAAGGCTGCTTTTTGTGCAGTCTACCATTTGGAAGCACCACTGAGAGGGCCTCTTTTTATCCTATTTTCCAAGCATCAATTGGGAAATACTTTACATTTTGTTCAACAGCACAAATGGCAAGCATATCATTAGTGAGGAAATATCAAATGAGGCTCAGGGACAATTGTGTCCTTCAGGGTCTCTGTATTCTGAGTACAATTCAGAATAATTCAAGGCCCCCCCGCCAGAATCCAATGTTCTCTTTCAATTAAAAACATGCACAACCACAAAAAAAAATAGCTTTCATAAATAATTTTAAGAACTACTTTCAACATTTAAATAAAAATGGATAAGGGATTGTAAGTGTTATTACAGATTACCAGTCAAAATTTTCCAGAATGAGGCCTGAAAAGGTCCTTTAGGCCCTTGCCCACAGCAGTTGCAAAGCAGGGAATTGTTATAAAAGCAGAATTTTGGGCCTCACCCCAAGGCCTACTGAATCTGAATTTACATTTTAACAAGATATTTGAACAATTCATGTTAACACTAACATCTCAGGAGTGCTGTTCTAGGTGAACAGCAATTCTGAATTTTGTCACTGATTTAGGAGAACACTGTTTCCACATGAACTCAAATAAAATATAAATCTCTTTGGGGGAAAAAAGCTTTTTATGTAGGAATACCCCCAAACAAAATGTCTAGAGGGGTTAGGAAAATTATAAAGTATTTAGATGGATGAAAACAAACTAATGGCTTATATCCTGAAAACAAGGGAAAAATTTTAAGCAAAGACAGAGACACAATTGAGAACAATCCCCAAAATTCCTCAAAGTGACAATACCTTTGGCATGTTGGATAGTGTGATGTGTCTGCTCTCTCTTCTTATCTTGATTGAAAAGTTGGCTTTGAACAATGGTTCATCAAAGCAAGGAAAAGCCATACGTGCCTGGGTTGGCTGAAAATCTGTTACTGCAATTATTCTGCGAAAATACCCCCCACAGTCAGAAGACGCAAGTGAAACCAAAAATAAATTAGTTCATACCTTCAGCAAACAGTTTACTAAAACTGGAGATGCTGTATTTGATTTCTCAAACTATAGTCTTAGTGAATCCAGATTTTCCCTCTTTGAAGAAAACAAGGGTAAAATCTTACTCAGTGTCTCTGCCAATCATGATTAATGCTCACTCTTGAGCACTCCCCATTATTTCCATACACTTGTGTCACACAAGAATATTGAGGCTCACAGAATTCGAGTAAACTATACCAGGATCCTTAGCAAATCAGTCTCACACCCAGTTAAACTGGCCTCAAAATTGAATAGGAAATTAGTAGTTCTGTCTTGGAGCCTGAGGAGGCTTCAATAAAATGTGCGAATAATTATATAGATGAGTGATGTATTAGGTTGTGCTTCCAGGAAGGGAATCCCAAATTACTAAGAATATGCTGTCAAGATGAGGCAGTAAGAAAAGAGGAAAAGCTTGCAAGGTGTGGTATTAGGCAAAGTCCCAGCCTCAGCCTTATTCCCAGAGAGCTCTGGGATGGAAACTATACCTTCGAGTTGCTTTCACTGAAGGCAAGGAGATGGGCTCTCATATTCTTGTATCACCATTGGTTAAGGCTCTCCATGTGGCACCAAAGTCCCTATTTCTAAATCTATTTGCTGGCCAGCAAAGCTCCTCCAGTCTTCAAATTGTAATAAGTCATAGACAGTCTAACAAACCCTGTATTCCAGCACTTCAGTAATACCTGAAATTGTGTAATTATAAATTTATTGCTTGCATTTTAAATTTCAACTAAGCAGTATGCCTGGGGAGCAGAGAAGGGAATAATAAAAAATCTCAAGTGTCTGATAAAAGACAAGGGGGCCATGGGGAGAACAGAGGGGCTATAGAGATAATTTTACCTCAGCTTCTTTTATTTTCTGATTCTGGTTGGGGAAACGAGGTTAGGAATGTAAATGATTTACTCAGAGCCTCAAGTTTTCATTTGAATTCTGTAGCAGGTATTGCAAATGTAAAGGAATTCCAAGCGTCTGAAATAATTTTCACTAATGTGAAATTTGGGTTCTATTAAGTCTACATTTGGAAAAGCAAGGAAAATAAAACAAATAAACAAACAAACAAAAACACACACAAAAAACCCCTGAACCTTTGCTATTACACAATTACTTTTAACTCCACATGCATAGTAGTGATTTCCTGCTTCTCAGAAGAATGATTGTCTCCTGAATTATTTGTGTGTGTGTATGTGAGTGTGTGCAAAGAAGAGAGAGACACGAGTTCTGTCAGATTCAATCGACACTGTGCAGCATATTATCCCACATGTTGATCTTTTAGATGACTGAGTATGAGCAGCCCTGACTCATTAATTATAAGAGTAGTCAGATACAGCCTTCAATTAATGATGGAAGGTGTGCTGGAAAGTCCTCTAGCTCTTACTTCAGATATGTACCCCTGTAGTCTCCCACATTTCCAAAAATATTATCCCTAAAATGTATGACCTTTGAATGGACCACTTTTTACTTAAAAAAATAAATAAAACAAACGAACAAAACACCACTGGTTTTATGGTGCTTTAGTGACAAGGAGTTGATATGTTTTGTTTCTAGTACTGTGCTGGGCCTGAGCACAGGTCCCTGAGAATTGAGTGCAGTGAGTGTCACCAAAGGGAGGGGAAAAGAGCTGGGCCAGGAGAAGAGATGGGCCAGGGAAAGAGCTATGCTATGTGGACTTGAGGCCTCAGTGGACAGTGAACACCCAAGGTGGGGAAGGAAAAGCAAGTATGTAGAAGACTCTGATAGTCATCTGCTCAATATCCATTCACTTTCTTTAGTTTTAAACTCTCTGCTTTTCAAAATTAATGTCCAATTCAACTACTTTGCTCCAGAACTAATGTCACTAGCTTGGCCCAAATTACCATAATTTCTTTCCTGAATAACTGTAATGACTTCCCAAATGATTGCTCTAATTCTATTTTTTCTTATCTATGACATACCCTACCATGGTTTGGTCTGGCATATCCCCTCAGTAGCTCATGTGTTGAAAGCACGGTCCCCAATGTAGCAAGGTTCAGAGGTGGGCTTTTAGGCAATGGTTGGACTATGAGGACTCTAACCACATCTATGGATTAATCTATTTGATGAGCTAATCTGATAAGTGAATGGACTATGGCGAGGTACGAGTTATAGGAAGTAGGTCACTAGGGGTGTGTCCTGGCCCCTCTCTTTCTGGTTCCCAGCTGTCATGAGCTGAGAAGCTTTCCTCTGCCATGATATTTCTGCCTTGGATCCAGCTGACCATGGACTGGATCCTCTGAAACAGTGAGCCAAAATAAATATTTCCTCCTCTAAGTTATTCTTGTCAGGAATTTTTATCATAGTGATAAAAAGCTGACAACACATACCCCATGATAAGGTTTGATCTTCATAAAGATCAAATTTATGATCAAACCAGATCATAAATTGTGATTTATGCACAAACCAGATCAGAACCTTCCAATGACTTTCCTTTGAACCTGAGGCTCTAAAACTCTACATGACCTTGTTCCTTTCCCCCCCGTCACTCCCCCAACTCACACTGGCCTTCTTTTCTCCCTCAGCCCTACCTTAGAGACTTTGCTCTTACCCCAAGGTGTTCTCATGATTCCCCTGTTCACTCCTCGCTCTCTCTTTCAATTCAGGTCTCAGCTCAAATGCATCTTCTCAATAATAACTTCCCTGCCAACTCAACTATATTTATCTCAATCCCCAGATATGCTTTCTTCTTATTGTATCACTTTGTCTTATTTTCTTCATAGTAGCTATCATTTACCTTTCTCCTTTCATTTATTTTCTTGTCCTCATAGTCTCTTTGACCATCTCTTACTACTGTGCTTTCAAGGTCCGTAGCCTTGAATGGCACACAGTATGTGTTCTGTGAATGTGAGATGACCAAGTAGACCCTATTTCTTAGTTCTCCAAACAGATTTCTCCTTTGCCACTGCCTCCTGGGTTTGAATGATACTATGTCCTGCCAATGTGCACTTTCTCACTTCCTCTTTTCCAATTCAAACCTCACATCTCCTTCTGGTGTTGACTCACCTTCTCTGGGAAGCTGTGCCTATTTCAGCCCTCTCTGTGGGGTCCATTCCTCCCCCTAGCATATAAGCATGTTTGTCTTATCAGTCTTACACTGGCCTCTCCTTGAATTGCCTTATTTTCCCTCCAGCTGTTTATGCCTCTGTATCCTGTCTTCCCATTCCCACTGTACTTAAGACATAGTATAGTTTATCCCTCTTCCAAGTTCCCCACAGTGTGTTGGGTTTCTTATAAATGATTGCTGAAGCACACTACTGACAAAGAAATGTAAGCCACAAAGAAAGTATGACAAGAGACTGTAATGACTGATAAGATCTTACCTTGTTTCACCATGTAGTGTTCTGTAGGTGCTTTTATAAAACCCTTCAAAACCATTAGCTAACTTGCCCTGAAAGTCAATAGCAACATAGTATCTCAGGTCAGCCATAAGTTTCTCTGGAACCAGCAGTGCAATTTGTTCATGAGCAGGATAACTCAAAACATGAAGCTTTTGCCCTGGTTTCTTATCTCTTAAATCTTCCTCTGACTGAAGGGTGGCATTCATTATTTCAAGATCTTTGCAGTGCAAGATGATAAATTGGGTGGTATCTCTGACCAAAATCTCAATCATCTCAGATGCAACAAAGTCCAGAGAGGTGAGATTTGGGTGGACAAAAAGGTCATAGTGGAGAGGAATGACACTGTTTGGGAGCCTTAGGTGATACCAAGGAAATGGCTCCCCATTGGTAGCTACTGCAAAAGCCCCAGGGTCCTCACTGGACTGATAACTAGATGATACTGAGAACTGAGAACAAATGCTTAGTTTGGGCAGGATTACTTCTGAGCAGCAAAATCCTATGTAAATATTAAATAATAGTTTTCTCTGTGAATTAATCATTGCTGAAGAGTGGAATATTAAATCTATTCTTTAGAATACAAGCTAATATTCAGGGTAAATCTCATAGTTCTTCATCACACTTTGGCTCCAGTTACACCATCCAAGATCCAAACAATGTTTCAATAGATAGATTTAATCTAGAAGAAAAAAAGACACTTAAAACATGAAGAAAAAAAATTCAATTCACAAAAACTTAAAAGCATAAAAAGATATGCATGGATGTGAAAGACTATCAGAAACAAGCCAAATATCCATTAAATAAAGTAGAAATTAAGCAATCATCTGGTTATTATAAACAAAAGTCATTTTAGGCTCAAATAAAAGGACCCTTCCTTAAAATTGCACATATTGGATCCCCTTTGCATTCCTGAGCAATGAGCAAAGGACAGGAGTATAAATTCATTGATTGTTAATACTAATAACATTTTTTACATCATCTTAAGAGTATGCCTGAATGCCTGAAAATAAATTGAGCAGGATGCCTCTATCTTGCCTTAAAAAGTAGTCACAAAGAATTCTGTATAATTTTTTATACCAGATATTAATTTTATTATTAATGGTATTGAACTTAATCTCTTTTCATAAATAATATCATCTCAATGATTTTATTCTATGGCTACTGATATAAAGGATGCAATGGTTTTCCATTACTTTTTAAAATGCAAATTCAACTGAATTCACTACTTCTGTAAATACAACTAAAGTAGTTTCTTCATATCAGAAAACAAAATTAGAACAAAAAGTTTAGTTAATTTAGGCTGTTCATCTCTGCTTCCCGACCTGCCACTTGCCTCTATTTGCCTTTCCTTGCTCCAACTTAACCTCACAAATTGGTTTTTTTTTTTGTTTGTTTGATTAATCATTAATAAGTACTTCAGAATTAATTATCCAAATAATTATTTCAATTTTCCAACTTTTAATGTTCATACAGATCAAAGGGCATATTAAAGGAAAAAAAGAGAATAAAAAATGGATAAATAATGATGCTTCTCTTTCCCTCTTAAGAAAAACTTTAAATTATAGTTACTAAGAACCTCTGATGAGTAAAATAATTGGTTTATTATTTTGAATTTCTGAGGATTTTACAAAATAGAATGGTTTATTTGTTATACTGGGCTTTGGAATCACAGCACCCAGATTCCAACAGGAGCTTCACTTAACCTACCCTGTATGGTAGATGTTCTGACTTTTCAAACATTCATTTCCTCATCTATCAGACAATGCAATGATTATATCCCCTTATATTAAATTAAACTAACTAATCCATGTGAAGAATTTGGCATAGCACAGCTATTAGCATATAGGGAATATGCCTGAATTCCAGATCGTAAATTACTGCTGTGGTTACTGTAATTTGCATTTGTTGGCTTACATGAAGGACTACTCTGCTTCTCTTTAGCACACTCTACCAGAGAGAAGTGTTTTTTTTTTTTTTTTTTGAGAGTGAAGAGAAAAGCCTTGACATTTCCTCAGATAGTCTCTAATGTTAATCTGGCAAGGATTTTAAAGGTCAGCTAGTGCAAGTTCTTAATGTCCAGATAAAGAAACTGAGGGTGAGTGACTGTCCCAAAATCACACAAGAAGTTTGAGGCTGACTCAGGACTAAAATACACTTTTCTGGCCCTCAGTATAGTGAACTTTGCATTACACTGCCTTGTACTTTAAGGAACATTGTAACAAACAGAAAAGGATTGAAATTATAAGAATTACAAGGAACACATGGGAAATGTTTTTTTTTTTTTTTTTAAATCTCTGAAAAGGAGAGAGTCAGTTCAGCAGAAAGTCTTAAATCAAGTCCCATCCCCAAGTGCACTCTTTCCACTAAAGCAGTACCAGAGTCACCCTCTTTCCCCAGTCTCGGCTCAGATGATAAACTCCCCAACCCCAATATGAACAGATTTCTATCTTCAGGTTAGGCCACTATTCTCACTGAAAATCTGTGATTTAAAGAAAAACCCAAGAAAAATGCTGATAAATTACCTTGATTCACGCTGCTGCAGATTTGAAAGGAGGACACTTTATTATTGCTTTCACTTTCTGTTCTAAGATTCAAAACTTTGCATACTTCCTGATTACAGGGCTGACTAGTTCATTATCATGTAGGTACGAATGAAGCATAAGACAAAAAGTTCATTTCAAAAAGCACAAAAACTTTCTGCAGAATGTACCAATAAGAGACTTTGGAGTACAAGCCAGTTGGTAAGGTAGGATCTAATTCCAGTATTTCTAATGGCTGTTGCTCCTGCAGTTTTGTCTTCCTCATATCCTTATTTCAGAACTTTAAGAACCTACTTCATGTTTTTTTTTTTTAGTAATAAATTATTTTAAGCTAAGATATTGAATTCCACTCTGTGCTCTGTACCTGGTTATATGAAATATTACCTCTGTCCATCTACCCGCAACAAAGTTAACTCCAAGGTTGCCATTGAACTCCCTGTCAGCTTCTAAGGCCTTTACCACAGGTGATTATCCTTGGCTTTTCCATGTCTAACCTCTTGTGTCTTGATCACAAAGATCTCTTGGATCTCTCTTTCTTTCTCTCTCTCTATTTTTTATTCTATTTTATTTATTGTTATATATGACAGCAGACTGCAATTTAATTCATATTACACAAATAGAGCACAATTTTTCATGTCTCTGGTTGTATACAAATTAGAGTCACACCATTCATATTTTCATACATGTACTTAGGGGAATGATGTCTGTCTCATTTCACCATATTTCCTACCCCCAAACCTCTTCCCTTCTACTACCTCCCCTTTGCCATATCAAGAGTTCATCTATTCCTTCCATGCTGCCCCCCCATTCCCATTATGAATCAGCATCATTATATCAGAGAAAACATTTGGCATTTGGTTTTGGGGGATTGTCTTAACTTCACTTAGCATTATACTCTCCAACTCTATCCATTTACCTGTAAATGCTATGATTTTATTCTCTTTTATTGCTGAGTAATATTCCATTGTGTACATATACCATGTTTTCTTTATCCATTCATCTACTAAGGATATCTAGGTTGGTTCTACAGTTTAGCTATTGTGAATTGTGCTGCTATAAACATTGATGTGGCAGTGTCCCTGTAGTATGCTGTTTTTAAGTCCTTTGGGTATAAACTGAGGAGTGGGATAGCTGGGTCAAATGGTGGTTCCAATTCCCAGTTTTCCAAGAATTCTCCATACTGCTTTCCCTATTGGCTGAACTAATTTGTAGTCCCACCAGCAATGTATGAGTGTCCTTTCCCCCCCACATACTTGCCAACACTTATTTTTGTTTGTATTCATAATAGCTGCCCTTCTGACTAGAGTGAGATGAAATCGAGTGAGATGAAATCTTATAGTAGTTTTGATTTGCATTTTTCTAATTGCTAGAGATGTTGAACATTTTTTCATATATTTGTTGATTGATTGTGTATCATCTTCTGGGAGGTGTCTGTTCAGTTCCTTGGCCCATTTATTGGTTGGGTTATTTGCTTTTTTGGTGTTAAGATTTTTGATTTCTTTATATATCCTTGAGATTAGTGCTCTATCTGATGTGTGTGAGGTAAAAATTTGTTCTCAAATTATAGGCTCTCTATTCACCTCACAGATTGTTTCTTTTGCTGAGAAGAAGCTTTTTAGTTTGAATCCATCCCATTTATTGATTCTTGATTTTAATTCTTGAGCTATTAGAGTCTAATGAAGGAAGTTAGGGCCTAATCCAACATGATGAAGATTTGGGCCTACGTTTTCTTCTAATGGGCACAGTGTCTCTAGTGTAATTCTTAGATCCTTGATCCATTTTGAGTTGAGTTTGTGCATGGTGGGAGATAGGGGCTTAATTTCATTTTGTGGCCTATGGATTTCCAGTTTTCCCAGCACCATTTGTTGAAGAGGCTATCTTTTCTCCAATATATGTTTTTGGTGCCTTTGTCTAATATAAGGTAACTGTAGTTATGTGGGTTAGTCTCTGTATCCTCTATTCTGTACCATTGGTATACAAGTCTATTTTGGTGCCAATACATGCTGGTTTTTGTTACTATCGCTCTGTAGTATAGTTTGTTACTATTTTGAAGTCATATGTTTCACTCTTCCTGCTAAGGATTGCTTTAGCTATTCTCTCTTGTTCTTAGCCAGGTGGAGCTGGACTTCTAACCTCCTCATCACATTGGATGTGGGCCTTCCACAAAGATGACATCTCTGCCATTGTTCTCTCTCTTTACCCTTTCTAGTGCAGATGTAGCTCTTCTCCTTGCTCTTCTCCTTTTTTTCCCCACTCTGATCTCTTCTTCAAGGGTTCTGCTGCTATAGTCCCAAAAGCCTGATACTCTGGTACAAGGATATTCTGCCAACAACTCAATATTTTGTTTCCCAAGATCAGCACCCTTTCCTGATTATCTGTTCAAAGTCTTCCTCTATTATTTATTATTGGATTATATAGTTATTTTGATTCTGCTGTTCTCCAATTTGTTACCAAATCTTGTGGATTCTTTCTTTTTAATATTTTTCTATCCAACATCTAAAAATTCTCACAGCTATTAAAGTAGCTCAAGTCCTCCTCACTTCTCACAATGGTCTCACACATGTCTCTTTAAATTTTTTTTTTATTAGAGCTTTATAGTTATATGTAGTAGTTGAGTTCATCCTGACATACTCATACATGCATGGAAATGGATTTCAGTTCATAATCCCCCTCTTTTTCCTCTTGTTCTTTCTCCCCTCTCCCATTGTCCTTCCTCTATTCTACTAGACTTCCTTTCACACATCTGTTAATTTGTATTTGATTAATTCTTCATGTTATCCTATCCTTCCCTTCCCATTTCCTTTATTTTCCTCTAGCTTCCACATATGAAAGAAAACATTTGACCTTTGAGTTTCTGAATTTGGCTAATTTCACTTAGCATGATATAATACATTGCCATTCACTTACTGGCAAACACCATAATTTCATTCTTTTTTATGGCTGAGTAGAACTCGATTTTTTTATATGTGATATAGATATTTGCTGATTCCATAATTCAGTTAGTGTGAATTGTTCTGCTATAAACATTGATATGGCTGTATTGCTGTAGTACACTGATTTTTGATCATTTGGAAAAATACCAAGGAGTGAGGAAGCTGAATTATATGGTGGTTCCATCCCTAGTTTTTTAAGGAATCTCCATACTGCTTTCCAAAGTGGTCATACTAGTCTAAAGTCCCACCAACAATGTACATACTAGTCTAAAGTCCCACCAACAGTGTTCCTTTGTCTTCACAACCTCTCCAGCATTTATTTATATGCTTGATCATTGCCATTTTGACTGGAGTGAGATGAAATCTTGGTGTTGTTTTGATTTTCATTTCCCTGAATGCTAGAGATGTTGAACATTTATTTGTTCATGTTTTTGTTGACCATTTGTGTTTCTTTTTTAGAGAAGTTTCTGTTTAGTTCTTTTTTCCATTTATTGATTGGGTTATTTGGTTTTTGGTGTTAAGTTTTTTGAGTTCTTTGTATATTCTGGATATTGATTCCTTATAAGAGGGGTAGCTGGCCAAGACTTTCTTTCATTCTGTAGGCTCTTTCACAATGCTCAAACAAGTTTTTCTGGCTTCTCAATGCAGGCTGGCTAGTTGTACAACGTCACCAGATTATCCTTTCAACTGCTGACTGATAATGTCTCCCTACTCAAGATGTTCATCTTCTTTACAAAGAGAGGGGGTTCCTAATGTGGAGACCATGGGTGGCCAGCAGATAGACTATGGGACAACCTATGTTTATTTTGTTTAGATACTAAGGCATTGGAATGCAATGCACTCCTGCATGTGTTATTTTCAAGTGAATATAGCAAGCTGAGCTGTCACTCTCTCGCAGATCCTTTACATGCTTTGTCCTCCTGTGTATCTGCTCTTGCAATACTGCATATTAGTCCAAGATCTCACCTTGCCAAAATTATATGCTAATTAACTCCCAGGCCCTATTTCCCCATCTCTTATCTTCTATTATTTCAATCTGAATATTATGGTTTGAAGTGAGGTGTCCCCAAAAAGCTCACATGTGAGACAATGCAAGAAGATGCAGAGGAGAAACGATTGGGCTATAAGAGTCTTAACCCAATTAGTGAGTTAATCCCTGCTGGGATTAACTGAGTGGAAACTGAAGTGATAGGGTATGGCTGGAGGAGGTGGGAATTGGAAGCATGGCTTTGGGGTATAATTTGTATCTGGCAAGTGGAGATTTCTCTCTCTGCTTTCTGATCATCATGTGAGTTGGTTTCTTCTGCCACACTCCTTCGTCATGATATTCTGCCTCACCTTTAGCTCCAAGGAATGGAGCCGACCTTCTATGGGCTAAGACTTCTGAAACCATAAGTCCTCAAATAAACTTTTCCTCCCCTAAAATTGTTCTGGTCAGATCTTTTAGTCACAGTAATGAAAAAGCTGACTAAAACACTGAATGAACAATTTGATAAAGTAGAGAGGCAAAAATCAAGAAGTTAATCTAACCTGGGGCTAGGAGCACAAGGCTGAAAATGGAGTCTCTAAGACTAGCATTTCATGTGGTTAGAAGGGTATCAGGGATGAGGCAGAGGGATGGCTGGAAATAGTGAGTAGAAAAAAGAGATAAAGAAGAGGAGGCTTGGGCTGGGGTTGTGGCTCAGTGGTAGAGCTCTTGCCTAGCATGTGTGAAGCACTGGGTTCAATTCTCAGCACCACTTATAAATAAATAAAGTACATTGACAACTAAAAAAATATTAAGAAAAAAGAAGAGGAGGCTCCAGGGGCTTATTCACAGAGTGAATTCTGCAGGACGAGGGACTCTCCCCTGCCCATTGGAACAAATATGGTGGTGGAGAATGAGAAAACTTGGAGATCCAATTGAACTACAGAATCCCAGAAGAGACAGTTGAGTAGAATCCGAATACTTCATAGTGTACTTAAGATGATTTCTCATCAAGGATTTCCTAACTTTTGTTTTTCTTGATAATAGAATAAGCTTTGGGATATTTGTTGTTTAGAGAAATCAGATGTCTCACTTTATACTTCATCGTGGTCTCATACTTGGAAGA